GGACCGATCTGAACACTTGGGCGGACCTGCACAAAAAGGTGAGCACTCCGACGATCAAGTCAGTATAGGTCGGGTTCCCAGTTTAGTTCGAGGTCAGAGATCATCGTACCTGATCGTGGAGTGAAGTCATCTACTAATGGGTGGTAGTCCCGCTAATCTCGCAACGGTTACGCTCGGTAATCTCGGGATCGTCGGTTACGCCCGGTAATCTCGGGACCGACGATTATGTCCGATAATCACGCCGCCGACAGTAATTCGCATCGGCCCCCACCGAACTTCCCGGTAGGTCGGACCTCGGCTAGGTTCATCTCGACCCTCATACTTAGCATCTATCAACGCTAGTAGTGGTGATTTCGGCCGTCCGAGCTGGGCATGACTCATGAGTCATCTTGGAGCACCAATAGGGGTCCTCCACGTGTCCGGGGTATTTTCATCCCCAAAAAAAATTAATACTAATTAGGTTGTATTTGATATGGCGACTTCGATTTTAGTTTTCTATTTTTAAAAATTATACGAAATTCCTTGTAAAAATTTTAATATGTTTTCTATATTTCTTTAAAATACATTTAAATTCATAACCAAATTTAAAAAACGTAAACAGATTTTTTAAAATCTACATTTTTAGGTTTCTAAAATTATGTTTAGATTTTAAATACGTTTTTAACAAATAAATAACCAAAACACAGAAACACATATGTAGAAGAAGAAGTAGGGTTTATAAGCTTATTTTTTAAATTAGAAAATTAAAAACATAATTGATTATCAAGTTTTGGATTTTTAACTTTTTTTCGCAAAAATATTAAATCATAAACTTATTGTACGAACGTTGAATGTTATGTATGTTGTTTTATAATATTTAAACATTAGAAAATTCAATTACGTCTCTAAAAAATGAATTTTGTTTTTATTTATTCCCACGAGGCCAACTTAATTATTAGACATGTTGACATTATATTAATAAGGTTAGGATAATGACTGGAAAACATAATTTAATGTCCATCCACGTAATTTCAAAAGGGTGAATCCCCACATATTCACGAGCTAAATTTATAAAAAGGGTAAAAAAAAAATTAATGGGTCAGCATAAATTTCTAAAATATTTAAAATATGAAGCTTTAAAAAATAATGGTAACCATAGCAAACTTTTTAAAATAGTTATAAATCTAATTTTATTTACAAATAAATAACCGTATTAGTTGTATAGAGCCCGTTTGTTAATGTTCTTATTTTCTATTTTTTATTACCGTTTCTCATTTTTTAGAAATATATGTTTGATAATCCATCTCGTTTCTAAATTTAAAAAAAAAAATAGAAACTATAAAAATTAGTTTCTTTTTTCTATTTCCGTAATCTCTAGTATACGAAGGCGCATTAATTTTTCTTAAATACCTTAGCTTATTACCACAATAATATTCTTTTGATAAACTGTAATCACTAATATACTTTAATTAAACGTAATCAATGGACGTTAATTTTTTTTTTTTTTTATATAACAAATCTATAGCATGTTGTCCCTTCGCATACTGTGTCAAAAAAAGTCTTCATACCATTTTGGGATGTTAATTACTATTTTTTGAGGGGTTGTTAATTATTATTAGGAGTAGTTTTCATGATCTAGAATTTAATGTCGAGGAGGCACAATATCATATAAACATGATAAATATATATCAATTTTTACAGTAAACTTTTAATTATATTAAATTATACATTAAATTTGGATAACTATTGTATTATTCCTCTTAAACTTTTTAAATTATTGCAAATTTTAGCCTCTAATTAACTTTTGTTTGAAAGATTGTTAAAATGTTATTTTCATGTGCCAAATGAATTACGAAACATATATATTGTAGCGTGAAAAATTTATAGGATTCTTACAAAAACCACATTAGATTAACGGTTTTTTATTTTTTATTTTTAATCTGTAAGTTTCGGCGGGACTGTATCATTGTCGATTTTGTTCACCGAATTTCTTATTTTGGAGTTTCTTTTTTTTTTTAATTAATGGTGACGCTGAAAATAGTTTTCAGCAACACCACTATTAAGGATGTCGTTGAAAACTGTTTTTAGGGTATTAAACGTGTCACTGAAAATACTTTCTGATAAGACTTGATTTAATGCTAAAAAGTGTAGGTTTGTATGCTTAGTTGACGGTTATTTGGGATGAAAAATGTATGTTCATGTATATAATTTAGGGAAAATGTGCATAATTTGTAATTAAGGACTTTGGAATTCAGTTATAGGTAAATGAAGGCTAATTTGGATAAATATACTTATTTTGTAAAGAAAAGTGAAGATTTATTATCACAATACGTCAGACACATTGCAGGATCAGAAATTGTAGTTTACTAGAGGAATGAGTCAGCCAAGTTACTTCCAGCTTCACAATGCGAGCCACATTCGATGCATAGATTGTCAAAACRGGAATAAGAACTTTTGTCCAAATTATTGGTCCAAGATTTGGTTTTACTAATATCTCTACAACAACTAGTGGTTGCCAACCTCCCTTCAATTTCTCAAATCCTTCTTACTTTCATGGCCTATAAAATGACATCACTTCAACACATCTCATTTCCATGCTTTTTTTTTCTTTCTAAATTCTCGTCAACTTTAGCCTTTTAATTCCAACTTTAAGTTTTGCTCTTCCTTTATTGTTTTTACAATTATTCCTTACTTATTTCGCAATTCTAGTTACTCTAATTGTGTTCTTCTTTCCCGATTCAATAAAAATGCATTCTTTTGTTATCTTCTTTTGCTATTGCATTTATTTTAATTCCATGAGTAGCTAAATTAATTTTTCAATCCTCCTACGAATGATTTAGTTCATTTATTTTAAATTACATCTATCAGTGAGCACGACGCATTACGATCTCTTTGCTTATCTTGATTGATACAATTTATCCCGTTGATTTTCTTGTTGGCCACTCGTTTAAATCACATTGGTTTGAATTTAATTCTAAGAAGGTTAGAGTCAAACGGATCTCATCAAGGTAAAAGGAGAAGTTACTTAGAAATAAGAACTAAAACAAGATCCTAGACATATGCTCTCTTACCCGTTAAACGTAAGTTGACATTTAATTCATTTAGGATTCTAGAGTTGCATAGACATATGTAAACATTATCCTAAACTTCTAAACAAACCAAAAGCGGTATGGAATAGGAGTTGAACCAGTTTGCATAAATTGAGTGTAATTACGGGCATATTTGGTAGGTGTAACTCATCATTTTAGAACTAAACAGAAGTAGGGATTGACCTTTTAAATTCTATTATTTTCGTGTGTTTTTCTTGTTCAACCAATCTCACCAATTTTTATCACAAATCTGATTGCTCATTCCAACAGTTTTCAAATTCAATTAAAAAAAAAAAAACTAGTCCCTATGGAGACGAGCTTGGAATATTTCCAGATTATAGTGTGCACTTGCATTTTTCCTCTAGCTAAACAGAGGTGCAATACTTTCAGAGACACATTATTTATGGGGCGTCGCTGAAAGTTTTAGATTAGAAACCCCAATCCCTTCCCCTTCCTCATTCGTGATTTTCTTCCAAATCCTCGCCCTTTCGTTCTTCAGCTGTCCGTCAACGCTCCTTCGCCATTCCATCTTCGCTCTGTCGTCGTTTCGTCTCCCTGGGTCTTGCCATCAGTCTTTGTCGCTTCTTCGCCGTTCCGTCGTTGGTGATTTTCACTGTGGGTCGCTAACATTGCCACTACCATCTCATCACCACTGCTGCTGTTGTCGTGGGTTGTGCCATGGGTATTGCCGTTCCTTTTCTCCGTGGGTTTCATCGCTGCGTTGAGATTTGCTTCAACCCTATCAATCCCATTCCATTCCTTATTACGTGGACTCACGTATATATTATAATCAATGTACCACTTTTACCCTTTCTCCTTAGATCCGTATAATTTTTAATTAATTTTTTTATTTTTATAATTTCTTCTCCATTTATATTCCAATTTTTATTTGTTGATGTGATTTTATTATATAATATTAATATTAATTAATATCAATAAATTTTTTAAATAGATATTATTACTTTTAAATATTATAATAATAAAACTTAATAATATGTTTTATTAAAGTTTGGTTGTTGTTTGTAATTTTATTTTAACTATTCATTATGATAAATTGTTATAATAAGAAATATTTATTATCAATAATATAGTAATAAACTAAATTAAAATTTATTGTTATTATAATTTGAAAAATATTAGTACAATAATATATTTGTAATAGATAAAAAGGAGAAAGGGATATATTAACAATTGTCATATATCTGATTCAGATTCCGATTCCGATTCCAAACAGTTTTAGTAAACAACATCAAAAGAATTCTGATTACGATAGTAAAAAAATTTATAGTAAACAAGATCAATAGAATAACATTACGATTCTTATTGATTTCATTACGATTGGTTTTCATCACGATTGTGGTTAAGTAAACGTGGCCTAAAAGAATTTTGATTACAATTTCAAAAAAATTTTAGTAAACAACATCAATAGATTAACATTACAATTCCGATTGGTATCATTACGATTGATTTTCATTACGATTACTTTCTATTACAATTGCAGTTAAGTAAACGTGGCTTTAGCGGAAAATTTCACCTCGACGGGGAAGGCCGCCCCGCCCCATGAACCTCCCTAATCCCCGGGGGACGGGCAGAGGTGGACCGGTCCAAGTTGTACGGTTGGGCTTGTTTTTGACGTTAAGCCCAACCTGGAAACAGACCGAAAAGGAGCCGAACGACTCGTCGTCCACACGAGCCTCCATGATCAGATATAGAGCCCTGGCTATGGTTTCGCCATCGCCATTGCCGTCTTCTTCTTCTTCTTCTTCTTCTTCTTCTTCTTCTTCTTCCTTTTCTTCAAACCCTAATTTCATTACATTCAGTTCCTCTTTCCCGGTTCTCAAACCATCCCTTCCTCTCCCTTCTCTGCTCTCCTCTTTTCTCTCCGCTCTTCGGAAGCACACTCGGAGCATGACTTATTCCAGATGTTTCTCCGGCTCTACTACCGCTGTTCCCATTCCGAGCGCCTGTCACGCGGAGGAGACGGACTCTGTGTCCCTTGTTGTAGTGTCCTTCTACAAATTTGCTGATTTTCCTGACCATGCACAATTTCGCCAGCCATTGAAGAAGCTCTGTGAGGAACTGGTACTTATTGTCTTTTGTATGTTGATTGAAGTTCGTTTGAGACTTTTTGGTTGTGTTTCCGATCGAAATTGCTTGATTGAGTATGGAGTGATACACTTGTAATCAGGCTGATTTTTTCTTGTGGAATTCGGAGTTGCAACATAAATTCACCAAAATTTAGGTTATTAGTTAGTTAAAGCCAACCCTAATGTAAAACTACAACTTCAGAAAATGCTCACTTCTAATTTTTGGTAATTGATTTCTGCATGGAAGAGTACCGAAAAGAAGTTTCAGGTCGGGTGATGTGTACAAGGAGCTCTGCGTTTTCGTTTGAGTGAGGTTATTTTGAGGTTTCCCTTTTGTAGGTGAATTAAGATGACCATCACACCTCTCATCTCAAACTGGGATCTGATCATTTTAATTTGGATTGTTCAAAGGCTCATGGAAGTTTTAATTTTGGTTAAGAAACCAACTTTCATTTTGAGATAAGGAACAGGCTGAAACGTACCAATGGCTTAGTAACGAGACACCTCCATAAAATATGTTTGAGATTCTCCAATTCCTTTTTGCCTAACTAACACCAAGTTAGGCCAAGCACGTGGGAGGAAGAGCTTGAAAGATAGTCATGGTGTTAATCCTCCCTAAAGAAACAAGCCAAGAAAAACGTCCAACCTTAGGGTTTTAGCCCTCCGAGGTTTGGGATAGAAATGGGATGGGAAAAGGGAATGAGAAGGAAAAAGGAAAGCTTGTATAGCAGAAGAAGTGAGAAACTTAATGAAATAAGACGTGCGCAAAAATACTTGAGAAGAATCAAGAGAGGTGATCATGTAAACCCTAGACAAGGACTTATGTCCTCAATTAATGGTAGAATGGAATTCAAATCTTCCACCTCTTTATCGGAAACAGTTCCTTTTAGAAAGTAAATAGAAGAGGAGAATCCTTTCAAACAGGAAAGGACCAAGGCTATAAATACTCTCTTGGCAAGGATTTAGTTGTATGGACAGAGGATAGCAAATGGAATGGAGCACTGTCAATCCGGTGATCCTCAAAATTTATTTGATTTGCTTTCCACCCTTAGCAGCCTGATTTTACAAACTCAACCCTAACATGACATTGGACATATCATTTACAGTTTTGCATCTCTCTGTCTTTCTATATCCTTCCTTTTCTGGCATGAGTTCAACAGCTTATCTTTACAATTATCATATTAGAATTGGTGGGGCTTAAAGCAATTTCATGCAATTCTGATAGATTTAGGGAATTAGATAACTATTTCTTGTCCCAAGAAGATTAATGATTGATACGATTTGATCTTCATTCCTTAGCAAACATATACGTATTGGTATTACTATTAGTCTGAAGGTTTTTAATACATTCTTGTAAAAGCTGAAAGTGATTTGGCAACACAAAGAACTCTTATTATTTCATGAAGTTGAAATTTGGCCTTGAGTTTTTTCAGTATGAAGAATGGAGTGAGTTCCCTAATTTTATTTACAGACTAGTTTATCTGCTATCAGAGAATGGATATGGAAAAAATCTTCTGTTTTCTTTTCGGTTCCTAAACTTAAATCTGTTATTATACCTTTTTTTGCTGCCCTTTTGGATTGCGTTACTAAGCTAATTTTGCTCAGCGTGTTTCAGGAGGTATCATTCTTGCACCTGAAGGAATTAATGGGAGCATATGTGGATCTCGAGAATCTGTCCAAAGGGTTCTTGGATTCATTGAAAGTGATGAACGGCTAAAGGGACTAAGGCAGGTGGAAACACCTGTTAGTCCTGAAGAAGAAGCCATCCATCATGGACATATTAGCAGTTCTCCTCTTGCAGCAGGGGAAGATGCACCCTTCCGCTGGGATCATGTCAGAGTCAAATTAAAAAAAGAGGTACTGACGTACTGTTTCCCGTCAAATTTTAATATATTTTCGTTGTTCTCTAGAGGATAGTAGGATAATATAAGACACAGATCGGTTTTCTTAATTGTTGATTTTTTATTGATGCTCATGTGTCCATGCTACTTCTGTTTTTGCAGATTGTTACTCTTGGAATGCCTGTTATATCACCTGTTGAAAGGGTTGGAAAATATGTCAAACCAAGGGATTGGAATAAATTGATAAGTGACCCAGATACCGTCAGTAATTTTACTTGTCTTAATTTTATGGTCTATTATTCATATTGTTCAGTTGCCAATTGCCATAAGCTTCTGTGGTTTTCGAGTAGTATATATTTGAATTTGAGATTTCACTTTAAGAATATTAAAATATATTCATATTTTACTATACCTATTTTGATTTTTGAATTGTTATTGAACTATTGGATATTGCCACCTTATGAAGTGCATTTGGTTAAATGACTAATGAGCACTATCTTGTCTGGCTGAACATAAATTGATTTTAGACTTTTCCTGGTGAAGGGAATAAGGTGAACATGCTTAAATAATTAACTCTATTGTAGGTGGTTATTGATGTGCGAAATCACTATGAAACAAGAATTGGGAAGTTCAAAAGCGCAGTTGATCCTTGTACTACAGCATTTCGGGACTTCCCATCTTGGGTAGAGGATAAATTCCAAGTTTCTAAATCAGATCGGAAGCATTCAAATCAAGGAGTTGAAGAAGATGCAGTAAACCCAGAGCAGAACGCGCCTCCACGAGTTGCCATGTACTGCACTGGAGGAATTCGTTGTGAGAAAGCTTCAAGTTATCTCCTCAGTAAAGGCTTTAAAGAGGTGATACGTGGTTGATGTATATATATCATGGCTTCCTAATAAAAAAGAAAATAATTCCTTAGAAAATTGGTTCTAGGCTTTTCAGATAACGTTTCTAGATCGACGATAAAACTGGAAAACGTATAATCAAACTGTTCATCATGCCATACCACGAAAACTGCATTCTTCATGGATTTTTCTGGCTGCTGAGACACTATTAATCTAAGTCATTATATTATTTTTAATCTTTGTGTAGGTTTATCATTTGGAGGGTGGGATTCTGAAATATCTGGAGGAAGTTCCAAAGACAGAGAGCCTGTGGGAAGGAGAATGCTTTGTATTTGACAAGCGTGTCTCGGTTGAGCATGGCCTGGAGCAGGGCACATTCAAGCTTTGTTATGGGTGTAAGCAACCGGTGAGTGATGCTGACATGGAATCCCCCGAGTGGGAATACGGAGTTTCTTGTCCATACTGCTACTCAACGAAATCTGAAGAAGAGAAGGAGCGGGCAAGAGCTCGGCAGAGGCAATTTGAGACTTGGGGCATCATTGGGGGCCCGGACAAAGGTCGGTCACCCAATCCAAGTAATAACTCTGTTAATCTTTCAAATTCAATTTGAATTTACTGTGGTTCAGGTTGTTGAAAATCAAAGTTACTAGGACTTATCTCCTTTTCTGGGAATCTTTTTCATTTTTGTATTAGAATATTACACAAAGGGAAGGTCAAAATACACCTGATATTTTGTCTTCTGCGTACAATATACCATTTTTGTTGATTATCACATAATCAAGTTGGAAAAGTTTGGAACTTGTTCACAGTCTCTGTGTCTCTCTGTTTCCATGACACGTGAGCAATAAAGCAAGCAGAAAAGAGAGAGAAAGAACAAACAGAAAATTCGTGTCATTAAAATTGGTACAAGTATGGCTCCTTAACAGAATGAAAACACAGAAAAGAAAAATGATGACAGGTAAAAAGGGATTGCCGAAGTTCCTCAGCCCAAAGCTGAGAGACCGCCTGCATCCCACCAACATGGAAGCTGCTGTGTTATGGAGTGTTGCAGGAACAGCCACTGCTCTATGGCTTGTACAGGTTAAAAGTCTTCTCTTGTGTCTGTTCATCAAGATTATATAATTGGTTTTACTTTTCTTCTGTGGTTGAAACTGAAAAGCTTGCAGCCATTTGACTGGTTGAAGAGGAAGCTTTGGGAGGAGGAGAAGAAAGCAGAAGCCGAGGTGGGAAATAAATAATAAGAACTCGTGATGTCAAATAAGTTGGATTTGGTAAGTCTGAATAAAAGATTTGATATGAACATGTTCATGCTTCTTGTTCATCTCTGTTTGTTTAGAACTTTAGATTGATCCATCAGAATTTTGTTGCTTTAGAGCTTGAAAAACTTTAGAACTGGTACTGAAAATCTTGGCCCTCCGATCATAATCTATGGGATCTCTGCCCTCATCTTCCCCCATAATGGCTTCCATTTCCAAACATTCAAGCAGCTCCACCACTCCCTTTCCGCCGCCGCACTTCTCCTTCAGCCTCCCCAGCTTCAGCCACTCCTCTCCCTCCGCAGCCACTTCTCTCTCTAGCTCCGCCCCAGAACCCCATCCACCCTGGCTAACACATCTCGACGCTGTACCCCGACGGCGCCACGCAGGGGAGATGGCTGAAGTTGGCCTGAATTTGACGGCGGAGGGGCGGTGGGAAGAGGGTGGTGGTGGTGGTCTTAATTGAAATACAGAAGAGACTTCCATGGTTGGGTTTTGGTGGTGATATGAAATAATGGGCTTATGCTCTGAAGAGAGTTTGTAATATAGAAAATTTTGTGGAGAGAGAAGGGCGGCGCCGGCCGGAAATGGGGATGGGGCACCGCCTGACGTGTCAGCTGGAGAATCTTGGGAGCTGACGTGGCAGTCGAGTAATGACACGTGGTCGCGATCTTGATGGCGTAGGGTATGGATTACTGGTCCACACAAAGTCAAATGTCAAGTTTTTCCATTTATAGGAATATTCATCCAAATAAAGAGGAGGTTTAAGAAATGTATATTTTAGTTTTTGAAATAAAAAAAATAATTGTTTTGGACTCTCAATTTTTTATTTTTTTTGGTCACTGTTATTAATTTTCTACATTTAGTCAATAATAGTTTTGCGGGTCAACTTGGGTTACATCTTTTAAAGTGGGATCAAATAGATATTTTTGAAAATTTGTGACCCAAATGAATTAGACTTGGAAACTTCAATGCTAAATAAAAAGTTTGAAAATTTGGAAGTTGAAGATATGATTTTAAAATTTCAAAACAAAATGGAATATAAAACCAATTATATAATATAATTAAAGTTACATGTCTTCATTGAGTATAATATCAATATTTTGTTGATAATTTTATTTTCAGATTGATTATAGTTTAATTAATTAAGGTATATATTTTCAACGAAAAGATTATAGGTTCTCTCATCTTCTTCCTTATATGTCGTACTAAAAAAAATAAATATTTTGGAAAAATCTACTATCCAATTTGTCAAATTCTCAAAGAATATATATATATATTGGCTTGAAACTATTGAAGATATTGACGTTTTGAAATTGAATACTTCGAAAAAGTTTGAAAAGTCATTAGCGTATGTGAAATGGTTTAATAAATCTTAAAGATGACCTCACTAATTACGAAAGCTTAAAGATGACGTGCTTGGTGATGTCATGATCATTTTTACGAGTAAAAATAGGTGTGAATTGAGAAAAAAAAATTGGAAGAGAACAATCTACTTGTTGGTTGTTTTGTTCATTAAGAGAGTTTTGTTGTTTGGTGTGGTTGTAGATTGTTGATGATGTTGATACACAAGTTCTAAATTTTGTAATTTTTTTTTTTAGGGTTTTGCTACTTTCCCTCTGTTTTTTTGTGTGTAAGTTGCTTATGATATGATAGGTTTTCGAAAGCAATATGACAGCAAAATATGGTCCAAATTAGCAACTTGTTATGCAACGCCAATACTTTAAAATGTGTGGTTCCTTCGAATGGGAATAAAAAATACTACACCTACGGTCACCTACATTTTCATTCGGTATAGGGTCTATTCGATAACGTTACTGTTTTTTTATTTTTTTTCTAGTTTTATCTCTTTTTTTATAAAAAAGAAAAGGAAAAAAGAAAAATATTTAGTAATGATCTCTCATTATTTTTTTATTGAAAAAATAAATAGAAACGCGTTCTTATTTCTTGCTCTCTAAAAAATTTTAATTATTAAAATGTAAAAATTTTATATGTCAATTATTTTTTATATTAAATATTCAAAATTATTACATTATATTTATTTATGATATTTATTATGCATTTTATAAGTTAAAAAATGATGAAATAATGCTGTTATCTATATTTTGGAGGGGAAAAAAGTGAAAAGAGGAAGAAGACACAAGTATGTTGTTTCTAAAAATTTCACATTATTTTGAAAACGTTTCTAGAAAATGAGATAAAGAAAAAGGAAAAACTTTACTAAACACATAGATTTCTAAAAAGTTAAAAAGTTATGTAAACGAAAATATTACCAAACGAGTCCATAGAAATCAAACATGCAAGTGTGTGATGCAATATTAAAGATTTTCTTTCCTCCTGCTTCCATTTTAAGGCTCAACTGATGAAATACAAAATACAAGTTGCAAGGAAGAAAGAACACTTCCTAGTGATCATTATTCAAAAGTATCCAATACTAATGGTTCTACAACACAAGCTTAGTTGTATATATTTGTGTACCTAAATTTTATAAACTTTGTATGCTATTTAATATGAACAGAAATGTGTGCCTAAGATGCTCATTGATGTGTGCAAAATGATCCATCATCATATTCATCTGAAACCGTCCCTATATTTGTTTCTTCTATTGGAAACCATGGTAATCCTCTGATCCTGAAGCATGTTCATATTCGGGGCCAACAACCGTGTGTAACGGTCGAAATACAAAAGCTGCTTCATGAGAAGTGCGAACTCTCGAGGAAATCTTAACCCATAAGATTCGCTGACTTGAAGCTGTGTAAGTTTAACAGATGCAAAATAGCATCACTGGCGTCAAAAAGACATGACATGATGATACGATATTTGGAAGTTCGTGTGGGAGTGTGATTGCTAGTTTCAGTTTCTGTAATTATAAAAACACTTACCACATCAAGGAAAAGTTTGTTCATTTGTCTTTCATCTACGACTATATTCGCAGCGACAGCAGTCGAGCCACCCATTCCCTCCCTGGCTGTTGCTATCACTACTTCGGTATCCAAATCCTGCATTGATACAATGAGAAGAATCCGGTTCAGGATATTTGTGATTGATTCCAATCATAAGCAATGATGAAAAATGGCGAACGATTCATCAATCTAAGTCTACTCCAAAAGGAGCTACGAAGATCACTCCACTCCAATTGGCAGAGGCACAAATGAAAAGAATTTAAAACTTTCAATTCATGCTTTCACTGAACTCTTAAACACTTTCCTTTATTGATGAAAATATATTTTCCAGATCTCTGGCAAAGGCCACAGCATTGACGTCATTGTTAGTGGCACCCATTTGGATGAGGGCAGATGCCATTGATTCATAATCTTCGGTTGCAATTGATGCCAAAAATACATCCATCGCAGCCCATGTTTCTGAAGATATGCGTCCAACAATTCCTGTAAATATGATTTCGTTTTCACATTCCAGTCATAAACAAACATCATGTATTTCGCAACAAGAAAATGCATCTGACCATTAATTCCAAAGTCAAAAACAAATGGTACTTGTATTTTGTAAACAACCTTTGGAGAAATATAGAATGAGAAATCAGACTTTGGAAAATTTCAGCGAAGTTCTAAGCTTCCAAAGAGAGGCAACAAAGGGAAATCCTACTTTTCGGGCAACTATCGATTCTAAATAGCCTTATATAAGCATGTTGCTTCAGGATTGGCAATTGCACTACAACAAGAACCAGTTTCCATTTATCTTTGGTTTTCTTTGAGCCCCTGGCCGCGCATCGACCCAAAAGATCTTCACCTCTATTTGAGGTGACGGCCACAAATTACCACTATTATTTCTTTTTGACCGATCCACCAAGCACCTATGAAGGTCTGAACCTTTGAAACAATAGATGATTCCAGCATTTCTTACTGAAGGAGCAATGCAACAAAATACAAGTGTGCTTGATCCTCCCCATCTCCCACACAACCAGCAAGAGCTTGGACTCGAAGCCATCCATATATGGACATTTCTTCGGCAGTCTTTGAACTGTTAAAAACTTGTTGATATTTTTGCATCTTTTTTCTTTCATTTCACAAACCAGGATATATTCTTTAGATTCCATCATCCTTATTTGCATCATTCACAGTTTAGCTAGATTGATTCACCAACCACTTGGAGGTGTGAGGTGATATTATAGGTCTCAAGTTCAATAGCAAATATTGCAACAAAAGCTACAGCATACATAAGGTCAATGCAGAAAGCTTACTGCACGTACCAAAGTCAAGGAAACCAATACGACCATCACGTAATAACCACAAGTTGCCTGCATGAACATCTGCATGGAAGCTTTCACAAGCAAGCAAACTACCAAACCTGCAAAGACGTTTTATACCAACCGTATAAAGTATTTCACCAATCAACAAAATTTATCTAAAAGTAAAAAAAGAACTTTGAATTGTATCCTACCAGACATTAAGTGCAGAAATTAGACTGCCTTCTGGGCTGGGAACAAGTGAACTTATAGACTCCAGGTCAGTGAGAGGAACGCCATATAACCTTTGCATAGTTAAAACTCGTCTAGTACTGCACTGGTGATATACCTTTGGAGCTGTAGCCTGCCTCGTGAGTCCCATGTCTTCCAAATATCTCCTAAAGGACTCAATATTCTTAGCCTCCTTGTAAAAGTCAACCTCTTCAAGCATTGATTCTCTTATGTCCTTCACGATAGAAACCTGAAGAAAATAAAATTCAACTTCTTTGAGCATCATTTCTAATATGTCCTCCAAACAGGAACCTCCTGAAAAGTGAAAAATCAACATCTTTGCGCATTTGTATATCATCTACTACAGCAATCTATTGAAAAATTAACTTGTCTAAGCAATGACACTTGCATGTAATTCACAACACTTAAAAGGAACACAATTTTCTTTTTTTTTTTGATAATTGGGAGTCGGAGTTTACCCAGGGGCACCCGCGCCCATTTGAAGCTGAGCAGTCATGTATTCAAAAAATAATTTAAGCATGATAGTACCCATTCGAGGGAGCCTTACCTCCGAATGATAATAAAATGAAAAGATATTTATGGACCCAATAAATACCCAGCGGCCTATTTTTGTATCTTTAAAAACTATCTTACGTACTAGTCTTTTTAAATTATTTTTATAGTTTTACTTTTTAGTTTTTATAACCGTTTGCACAAAAATTATTATTATTATTATTTGTGTGTTCTTTTACATATTCCTTTTAAAATATAGTACATTTAAATTAAGTTATAATTAAACATAATATTAATGATTAGATATATGAATAGTTAATTTAGAATATATTAAAGAATAGAAAACAGTAGAATACTATTTCTACTTTTAGTTGTTTACTACTAGGAGGACCTTCTAAACAAGTTGTTTTCCAAAAACGTTTTGTACCTCAAAAATAATTTTTTTTAGCAAAAAATTGTGTAACCATAGTCTGAAACAAGAGAAGAATATGAATATAGAGGCACGTTTTTTTCTTGTTCATAGATTCATAATGATGATGCAAGATATGACCAATAACACAGGAACATGATAATTTAAGATTATGTATACATACATACCATAAATTCTCAAGAGTGAATTACTCCTCTCGATCTTTTTTTTTTTTAATAACTGGGAGTCGGAGCTTTGCTTTCCTATACCTAGGGGCGTGCCAAGCCCAGACCCGAGACATCAATAATTTTGGTATTAAGCTCACTAGAAGGTTAGAACTTGAGACCTCTAAGCTAGTATGACCAAGAGACCCCAAGCCCTTGCCAACAAGGGACTGAATTACTACTTTTTTTTTAATTTTGTCTACAACAAATGATAACTTTTGTGGTGAAAAATAAATAAAGAAAATGAAAAGAAAACCAATCCTTAAACTGCACTCTTTTCACTATCCTTGTAAACTTCCAATGGCAAGAAATTGATTTCATAACATACCAGAGATGCACGGCTGAGATCAGGATTCAAGAACTCCAATATGCGAGCAACAATGTAAACAAAGTTTAGATCTGCTACCAATATATCCTCAATCCCTGGTTTCAAAACCTTAATAACCACATCATCTTGAGAACCCCTGAGCCTTGCACCATGAACCTAGAGATTAACTACGGCACTTAATAAGTAGGCATTAAGTAGAAAATTATTTAACAGATCAAGATAGTATGATGGCCATTTACCTGGGCTATTGAGGCTGAAGCAATTGGGATGGGATCAATATATTCGTAGATACTATCAATTGGTCTCCCCAGATCATCTTGTATGATTTTCTTAATCTCTTCAAAGGGAACCGAAGGAACTTGGTCAAAACACTTCTGAAATTCCTCAACATATTCTGGCGGAAAAAGTGTGGGAGCCGATGCTATGAACTTCAAAGTGTAGGACCAACATGATCAATGAGGAAATAAATAAAGAAGGATACAAAAAAAAAAGGGATTCCATTAACTGACTCATAATTAAGTTTCAATACTTGCAGATAAAGAATATCTTCTCTATCGAGGATTTGTTGAAGATGAAATGGGAAAAAATGAACTGGTATCACACAACAAAGCAATTTTATAATTAGAAGTATGATACACTTGAAGAAAACAAGCATCGCAGTTGGTTTGGTCATTTTGAATCAGCCTCCTTGAAAGCTTGTAAGCTATGTTCTTTACCAAAGTTATTTGCATATTATCATCTTCAGGACATTTATTTAAATTGGAATGCTTTTATCTCTCATGTTTAGTTTTACCCTCTTTGTTCGGTTTCCTCCCTTTTTAAGGGAGTTGTATCTTTGAACTTTTGTCTCTTCTCATTTATTCAACTAAAGGTTTTGTTTCTGGTTCAAAAAAAGTATGAAATGATACACTTGAATGGGCAATGACCAACATTTACCTGACCTAACTTGATGTATGTTGCCCCCATGCGTTCAAACAGCCTCCTCAAATAAGTCGGGGAAAGTAATCCTAGCTGCAATTCTGTCGACAGTCCAGCTGATGGATTTGTTGACTACAAAGATCCAGAGGAATGTCAGTGGTTCCATCCAAATTAAAAGATGCATATCCCTAGGGGAATGTTTAAGAGGTGTTTTTATAATAACAACTCAAATTCACCAAATATACATTACATTCAATTTCAAAATTATACAAATAAAGAAATCTGCTGTCAGATATTTTTATGAACAACAATATTACCCAAATCTTTTAGACATTGAAACTCAGAAAAGTAAGTAGAAAAAGAACACACATGTTATCACTTAACTCATCAGAACTGAAAATAAAAGATCTGGATTAACATGCGATGAACTTTGTGAATATAACTTACAACATAAAAAAATTGTAGAAATCATTCAGAACTACAGAAAAGGGCAATCAACTTAGTATGGAAGCAAGGAAGCTGCAGGTGGAATTGTTGAAATTGACACAAGCCAACATAGTTACCAACTTGAGATGAATATATGAAATACTGAGAGTTTTTGTACTCTAATAATCAACCCTATCTTCTACTGTAAAGGTCCTACCATTTAAAAATTGAAGTCTGGTTGATCTTATAAATCACAACCAAGATCTCAATCTCCTACAACAAGAATTTGCACTTCATAATGTTTTGGAGAACTTCATTATTGTACGTGAAACAGCAGGGAAAATTTGATTGCAAGAATACGCAAAGTTGCTTCTATGTATAAAGTCATTGCAACAAATCCATATTTAGATTCTAACAAGATGACTGTTAATAAGTAGAATACTCATAGGATTTCTGATTTCAGCTACCAAAACAAAATTGAAATGACTTAGAAAACAAATTTAATGGTGATATGGTAAACTAGTACGAGAATTATGCAGATTGCAGACAACAAACTGAGTGTCCTTTCAGTGGAAACCAAATGAACGGGAAAAAGAAAAATTGAAATTAAAAGGATAAGTTTCTGGTTGAATGTTGGTTTATTCATAGTAGTAATAAGAAAAATAGTCTCACAAAAATCTCACGCATACACTAGCTATATGTATGAGTTTAATGAATTATTTCCATCATATAAAGTCATCTTAATTGTGAAGAAAAATATTTAACAAGACATATGAAAGACAACTTATGCCTAAACAAAAAATTCATGTTAAGAAACGATCATAATGTGGTTAAAGCTACCGGATGGAATCTGAATGAATCGGTACCTTCGATACATCTGCAAGCCACTCTCTACCAACCCCAAGAAATGCTTGAATACCTTGAACAAGCCTAACGGGACCACGTGGACCTGTGTTTATGGACGTCTGCACGATGTCCTCCAACAGTTTAGGAAGATTTTCAATGCTAGCTGAGAATTGCAGATCATACATAAGCCTCTTTTTCAATTTTGATGAGAGCCAAGCCAAGCAGATGAATTCAAGAAAAAGCAACATTTATTCAAATCAAATCTAGGTGCTCCCAACAATGTCTAAACATCATGCACTTAACAGCATATATTCCTAAGTAACATCTGTATCAATCAACTCAAAATTGTTCCTCTTTTGGTTTGTTGCTGTGATTAAAGTGATTTTGTACTTTTCTTCAGTCTTCAGGAGCAAATAAGCAGTAGTTTTCTTCTCCCCCTTCCTCCAAATACACTATCCTCGCAAGAATACATATAGCAGCATACTTAATTTGACCTAAATTGCTCAGAAATACAATCAACTAACAAGCGAATTCTCTAACATTTCCGAAAAGGCAAGCTCAAATACAAGATAAGAAGAAAAAAAGGGAGGCAGGTATACTCTGAAGGCGAGAGGAGAAGAGATCCTGAGCTTGAGAATAACGGGCAAGGAGACGAAACCCATGATTGGAATCCCGCGTAGGCAATTGAAGGCGATGATGGCGAGGCGAGGACTGAGGAGAGAAGAAGGGCAAGCGAAGGCCTCTGAGAGCCGAAACCGAAGCCATTTGGTTACCTGTTTGGATGGATTTTGCTGTGAAATTGAACGAAATCGTTGCCTCGAACGGATTTATGGAGGTTCGAGGAGTCGGTGTGGGATGGATCATCCAGAAAATCTGCTCCACTGTGACAAGAAAATCTGGGAGATGTTGAAGAGATGTTAATGGTGGGAATCAAAGGGAAAATGGATTCAATTCAAAAGTTAAGATAAGAGTTTCTTGTTTTAGGCTGTTTTTAATTACATGGGAAGGATAAGAAATAATGAAAATCTAACTCAATCACAATAACTGAATATCTTTCTGCAGATTTTTTATTTTTTAACTATTATTTTTTAATGACGTAATCTTCTCAAGAGAATACTCAATCGATTAAAGTACTTATATCCGATTGGATCGGAAAGTTGTGAGTTTAAATTTTTCTACTAACAAACAATATTTGTACGTTTGATTAGTTAACATACTATTTCAAAAAAAAAAAAAAACTACGTTAACATAATGAAAATTTTGATAAATACCGATCAATCATGTATTTTCAAATGTTCGGTCTCTGTATTTTTTTAAGTGATTATTTTGGTATCTTAGTTTTATTTTTTAACTTACTTTTTCTATCACAATTACAATACAATACTAACTCGATGTATCCTTAAAATGTAACTATTATTTTATATTAAACGGTTTTCATTATTTGTAGAATTTTTGTATTCAAATTTTATAAAATATGGACTAAAATTGTAACTTTTTCAAAGTATAGGATCAAACTTAATATTCTATAAACACCAAAATTAAAATGAACTAAAGTTGAAAGTATATAGACAAAAATGAATATTTTAGAAGTATAATGACAAAAATGAACTAAAACGTACCTGACCAATATAGTATTCGGTCATGGAATTTTTATTTTTTTGAAACCTAGTCATAGATATAATATTTCATAATATAAACTAGTTTTGTTTTTTAAAAATTGAAATACATAAAATTAATAATTATACACAATTTATAATATATATTAATAAAATTTCATATTCAACTAAATATTTAGTTAATAACTACCACTAATTTACAAATATACTACTAAATGCATCTTGAACCAATTCTTAATTTGATATTCAATTTTTAAATCTACAATCAAACATATATTAAAAAATGCTGAAAATATATAATCTACTTTTCATTTAAATACTCTATTTTCATATTTCTATTTTCAAATCACCGACCAAATGCATTCTTATATTATTTTTCATGGTTTATTATAAATTTTCTATAATCAAAATAAAAGAATGTCATTTACTAAAACTATAAGAATTAACATAATGTAAACAGAATCTTGGATAATATGAATGAATTCTTGAATTTAAATCAGAATTCATCAAATGTTCTGACTTTGTACATGTATATTTATATAGTACAAACCCTCATTTTAACATATAATAGTTCTTATTTCAAAGAGAAGACAACCCAGCACAATTTTGTTGGGCTTTATAGTGATTTCTCTTAACTTAATAGAATGTCTATTTCTTATTTTTAGTTGATTACAAATACATTGACTAGATAGGGTGTTAATATTATTTTTAATTAAAGTAATAATAAAATTTATTTTATTTTATTAATATTTATTGACAACAAATATATTTTTTATTATAGTAATTTATTTAATATTAATAAATAATAAATCATTAAAATAAAGTTACATAAAATATTAACATAATTTTATCGTTATAATATTAAATAATAATGACTTTTAGTTTAACAATTTCGTTGATGTTAATTAATAACAACAAAGAAAAATTAAACCATGGAACAAATTAAATATAAATTTGTAATATTTTATAATAAAAATCACATCAACTAAAAATATATTAGCAGTATAAATAAAGAAATAAATTGTAAAAGTTGAAGAAGTTGTGAGTTGGAATCCCTTCCTCAACATGTTGTACTCGAAAGAAAGAAATTGTAAAATTATAAAATAATTAATTAAAGAGTTATGATTCCATCATGTGAGAGAATAGAAAGTGTGAAATTTATAAATCATTCGAAATGTGTGAAGTCCTGATATTAAGGATTGAGAATAATATTCATATAGTTTTAGTCTTAAGAGACAGTGAAATTACTCTATTTTAGAGAGAGAAATTCCCGAATTTGAAATCATCTTATCAATTGATTACTTGAGAAAATTACAAAATTAGTAATATATATATATATATATATATATATATATATATATATTAGGTTTAAATTTTTTAAACATAGCATAAATTATGGAATGAGACCAACCAAAAATCACTTTTAAAAAAATAATAATTATTATATTTTTAGAAATACCTATTTCTCTAATGTGATTTAGTGTAAAGTTCCCTCAAATTTTCTCTACTACTGCATTTTAGTAAACATAAATAGATCGTAATACCAAACTTTTCCAATTGATTACATTATAAGTTTGTTAAGTATTCCTCCCAACTTTAATATTTATTATCATTTTAAAGGTTCATAGCTCCATCTCTATTAAATTTCATATATGATAAATTCAAGATTTGTAAGCAAATGTTTCGAAGGTTGATGGATATAGAAATATCGAACTCTTAATTTTATAGAAATTTTATAAATTATTGTTGTAGATAGATATTTATGAGAAAGACTATTAAAATATTTAAATTAACAAATGAATGTTTTACATTTATCTTATCGTCAAAACACTTCATATTTGTTTTAAGTTTAAAATACTTATTATTAATATTATGTCTATAGTATTATATTTTTTCAACAAGCATATAAAATTGTTGATGAAAATTTAATATTTTATCTGTAAGACTTTTTTAAGATTATTGATCCTCATACGCGAAATTAAAAGTTTATAAATTAATTAATATATAAATATATATTTTTTTTTATCAAAAGATATATATATTTTTAGTTTAAAGACTTAATAAATATAATAATATATTCAAAGATGAGGGACTTTAAAAAGAAAAAATTTAAAGATGTATTAGACTTTTTTTTTTCTCTTGTACGAGACAAAATTCTCAAAATTTAGGATCCGAAATTTAACCAAAGTATCAGCTATCTGCCTTATCCACCATCTCCACCGACTCCGCTGCCAGCTCTCGTTTGGATCTCATCGCCGAACTCGAAGAATCAACTGAATCACTTCTGGAATTGGAGAATCTCGTTTTGCACCCATGAAAATCCATTACATTCCTTGCCTGGAAGACAACTACTCTTACCTGTATCTAATTGAACTCAAGCTTCAGTCATTCTTCAATTGCGCTTCTTCAATCTCAAATTGCATAATTTCTTTTTGTCTACGGTGATTGTAGTTCTTTTTAATCATTGGGTTCTGATGGATGCCAGGATCATCGATGAGAGCACTAAAGAAGCCGCGGTTGTTGACCCTGTGGAGCCGGAGAAGGTTCTGAATGCCGCTAATGAACATGGAGTCCATCTCAAGCTCGTTCTTACGACTCATCATCACTGGTACGGTACCCCCTTTTCCCACTTCACTCTATATTGGCGTGTTTTTTCAATTCTCTGCATTAGTTGACCTTGAATTGCTGGCGCTTGCTATGAGTATGGAGGCGATCGTTGGTTTTTGAGATTGTTCTTATTAGTACTTCTTTTACTCTTTAGGGATCATTCAGGGGGTAATGAGAAAATAAAGCAGCTGGTGCCTGGAATTAAAGTATATGGCGGTTCCATAGATAAGGTCAAGGGTTGTACTGATGGAGTGGAAAACGGTGACAAGATAACACTTGGTGCTGATGTCGTTATATTGTCTCTTCACACACCTTGGTAAGTGACATTTTTTTTCTTTTCTGTAAGACTCTTCGTTCTCGTTGTTTGTTGTTCTAATTTCACTGCGGGGCTTGCATTTCTAATGTCTCCATTGTATTGCATCTTGGAGCTCTCTATCCTTTTTCAAATGAGAAATCAGACAGACATATCCTTAAAGAAATAGTGTCGTGTTCTGATTCTTTTGGGTATGTATTTAGGTTAGGCCCTTAATTGAATTATTAGTTCCTGTATACCGTACCCTGCTTTCGTCTTGCTCCCTATCTTTTTCTGCCCAAGTTTCTGAGTTCTTATTGCTGGGGTGATTAAAAAGACAAGTATGCTTTTTTGGGAAGTGTTAAATCTAGATATGTGATAGCAGTGCAAAGCCTTCAATTCGGTTTATGTATTCTTGGCGGAGGGTAGCTAAGTGTACCAAGTAGAGTTAGTTATATGGGAAATAAAGGATGTGCTTATGTGTGCCCCTAGTGTGTATAGGTTGAGCCCAACAGGCAAAATAGTAGTTTTTTATTGTGAGAGTGGGGATACTTAGCTGAATAGGAAGGATTTATAGGATATTCGGTTAGTTAGCAGTGTTTTTGGCTCAGAGAGTCTAGGCATGTATGGGCATCTTGAAGCTTGAGAGTCTGTATATTTTGTATATTTTCCATATTAATGCAAAAGTTTACTTGAGATCTATCAGTATGAGAAAAAATATGTAAAATAGAGTAAATATTCTTCTTTTCTTCACGTGAAGGACTTTGAATTTCCAAGAAAGGGTACTCATCTTTTCTCATTCTCTCTTTTTTTT